TATAAAAGCTAGTTGAAAGCTTATATAATGAACGGTGATTCATTTCACCTAACACGCATTACCTTCTACGACTGCAGAAGGAGTAGAATAATCACATAAAGGTTGAAGGAGGTTTAGGTCACATTTCAAGCATAGGTTTTCATTTCAGTAGCTTTACTGGTTCATTGTAAATCATTGTGATGAGTGGTGGGGCCTCTTGTATGATTACCCCCTCATGCTCTCCTTGCTAATTTAAGTTCCCTACCACCACTTTTCGGATCATTATGTGTTTACCTACCCGTCCCCTAAGCCAACATTAACACCTACTTCTCACTTAGGGCAAAAAACTGGCTTAGGGGAGGGGTAGGTGGGCAGTCTCTCAGACGCGTATAATGATCCCACTTTTCTAGGCACCAGTTTCCCTTCTCATCCACTAGCAGGGCTGTCACTAAGTCTTTAAGTTTCTGGATCTATGTAATTAGTCAGCGGGAAATTGAGCAGCTAGGAATTTTTTTGGTTTCATTTTCCTTTTGGTTCCTATAAAAATAGCCTGAGGTCATGCTCATGGGCTCAGTGAACATATTGATTAATGGGGTTTTACTGTTATGGTTCTTAGAAAATATATGAATTGATAAACAGAATAATTACTATTGAAATGTTTATGATTGTAACTTGACTTACATACTGATGTATGCTCATGTTTTTCTTATCCAGATCAGATGCATTCTGCCACAAACAGACAGGATCAAGTCTTCAACACTAAGGCTTTAGAGGTTATCTTAAGTACCGTATTACTTTGTAATCCAGCTCTTGAGTGAACCAGATAAACAAAATGTGGCTTGCTTGTTCAAAAGACAATTACTATTAATCTTATCCAGGACACAAAATTAAAAATGCATTTAAATGCACTTTAAAAGTGTTAACAATAAAGTGCATCTTTAAGGGATTGGTTGGTTTACACACACTGAGTAGTTTGCTACAAAATTCACATGATACAAGTCATGTGGAGATTTCTTTGCACAGGGATTTTTATCCTACGAGGTTTCTTAATACAATTCTTTCTACTGCAGAAATTAGTTATAATAAGTAAAACATACAGGGCAAAAGTATCGACAGCTGATTCCGCGTGTGTAGTTGAGGGCAAAATTACTTTAGTTGCTGTTGTATAGAAGAGTTGGTTTTGATTTTGAATAGAATCAGGAACATCTCAAAGAATTGAAGTTAATTGATAATAGTGAGTTGAATCAATGTTTATTTTCAAAGCATCCGGTGGCTGAGTGTAGTTGGAGAGATTCACTTGACCCTAAATATAAGCTTTTCAGTATGTATTTGAAGCTCAAAAGGCAATCTAAATCATCGCTACACAAAATGAAGGAAAACTGTCCAAAACACTTTTAAGTGTTCATACCACTTGAAAATTAATTTGAGAGTTTCAATGAATCACTGAAGCAAGTTACATGTAGCAGTTTCACATTGATTTTCGGACTGGATTCTGGAATTATCACAGCCTTCATCTTATTCAAAGAAATTTTATAATCCTATTGTGCAAAGAACTACTCAGTTTAAAAAATTTGGCTTGATAATTAATCATGCCAAATAGATTTTTGATTTTACTCCTGGATAAGTATTAGCTTGCTTTTGATCAGTTTTGCCACAGCTACATGTATGCTGTAGTTATATGCTAAGTTCTGCTATAGTTTAGTAAAAAACAGTTTTACATCATTTTCATGTGCCAATTTTTGCAATGGCAAAATCATTGCAAAAATTTAGAGCCACCACATTGTCAATGACCCAATAATAATATTGAAAACTTTAATTAAAGCTCATAATCATTGTGTCAACAAACATGTGGAAAGGTGAAAGAAAACGACGGAAAGTTTGGCTTAAAAGGTCGAAACAAGCC